GTAGCTCAGTGGTAGAGCACATGCTTAGCATGCAGGAAGTCCTGGGTTCAACCCCCAGTACCTCCATTAAATAAATAGACAGACAGACAGACAGACAGACAGATAGAATTACACAAAGTCACCAAGTGTTTCACACCTACCCCTCCCTCCATACTGACCTCTCCTCCATACTGATACAAGAGCATCGTCATTCCCATCATTACATCACGGAATCTACCACTGACATCCAAGCATCTAAAATCAACTCTTCTGTGAACTATTTTAGGCACCCAGCCACACCACAGAAAATTCGAACTTTGTCCTGCAAAAACTGCACTAGTTAAAGCAGCAATGATAGCACTGTATTATTGTTTTAACTATTTCTTAATAAAGAAAACGTTGCTTGCATTTTAGAATGTTTTCTCTTTTTGAGGTTTTGACGCACCCAGATAAATGGACACCTCTGAGAATTCTAACTCAGTCCCTGCATCCCAATGGCTGGGTATGTTGAATAATCATGTTAACAGGTACCCTGCACTTAGAATGTTCTGGACGCTGTTCTGGGTGCTTTATGTGCATTATTCCATTCCAGTTCCACTCAGCCCTTTCTGATAAGTACTACTAGTAATTTTCATATTACAGAAGAGGAAACTGAGGCACGTACAGTTTGAATAATTTGTCCAAGGCTGTGGAGCTTCTAAGGGTGTGACTGAACCCCGGCAATCTATGCTGAGTGCCCATCTGTCTTTCAAACTCTCCAGCCTCCAAAGCTACAACCCTGAACACCATTGAGCCAGAAAGCCTAGGGGCTAGTGCCAGGCAGAGTTCTAACTTCAGGCCTGACACATCCCCTTGGCTATCCTCGGTTCCATCAGCACTCCCCAAAACTCCTTCCTGCTTCTGGGCCTTCTGCCACCCCTGGCCTGGCTGAGTCTGCATTCTGCAGATGAGGACAGCAGGGACACTTCTCCAGGGCCCCCAGGCTGTGCCCCTTCTTCTGCTCTCTGTACTCTCTAACGCACCACCGATGTTAACTGTAATTAAATCACAGTTTAATCAATTATTTCTTTAATATCTATCTCCCCTCCCGACTATATAAACAGTGACAGTTCCAGAGTTCCTATAGAGGTGGGGGCAGGTAGCCTATCTGGGCTGGGGGGGCTTGGCTTCCAGTGCTTCATATTTGAGATAAGGATGAGAAAGGTCAATTGACTACAGAAATGAATGAGGTTGCTGAAGAAGATTATAGGTGACACCATGGTGTCAACACAGACTGTAAGCTCTGTAAGGGCAAAACCAGCATCTGTCTCTTTTATTACAGTAAATCCAACACCTGGCACTGTGTCTGATGCACAGGAAGTATAAAATAATGTTTTGTGGAATTAATAAATACTTAAAATAGAGCCTCTGACTTCTCATCTGAAAAGGAGGGAAGATAAGACCCAGAGCACAGCTTTTTAAAGCAACATGACATATGAAAACAGGCCAAGCCCAGGAATGGCCCACAATACGTACTCCATAAACACCTGCCATTGGATTAGAATTCCTGCCTCTCCTCTTTCCCACTGTATCAGCTCCCAGCTTAAGAAGAGGGCAAAGCCCAGAACTGAAGCCACGGGACACCCCGACCATGATCTGGTAGGGGTGCAGACATTTACACTGAGGTTGGGGTGAAAGGGCTGTAATCAGCATGGGCAGGAATGCAGGGGTTGTAGGATCTGCCTCTTGCAGAAAAGCTATACCTGGGGAAGAAACTGAGCAGCTCTGGAATAAACAAAATCATAGGAAACAGGAAGAATATGTAGCACAGGCCAAGTGACAACTCAGTCCAAAGAATGTGGGTGGTATCACCAAGCTGTGAAGGAACACGTGCTTTGCATTCACCCATCATCTTTCACTCTGTCCCTCTCCTCCAACCACTGGCCCCTGGGCTGTGGAAAAGGTTAAAACACAAATCAGAGTATGTCTTGGCCCTGCTTAAAACCCTTAAGAGGACAGTATCTGAGCTCCTCACTGGCCCATCTCAACCTTGCTCACCAAGCTGTGGCCACAGAGACTTCCCGTAGGTACCTTCACATCAGGCTTGTCCCACACAGGCCCCCCCACCCCGGGCTCCCTCTCCCTGTCTCTTCAACCTCCTTCAGGTCACTCCTTCCGAGTCTCCAAGTCTCAACTCAGAACCACAGGCCCCTCTCAGAAAGAGACTCCCTGATGCCCAAATTAAAATCAGTCCTTCCTGGCTTTCCCCATACCCTCAGATACTGCTTCCATCTCCCTCCTTGCACTTATCATAGACTCAGATTGCATAGTCTGTCTGTCTTCCGTAATTGTGAGCTTCACCAGAGAAGGGAGGGCTATCTGTCTCTCACCAGGAG